GTGTTCAATTTGCATTTGAGATGGCTGGTGAAAAAATTACGTAGTTTGGGTCAGAGTTGAAGTTGAAATGTTACAGTGAAGTATACGTTACTTTATATTACATGTGTTTCTTTGAGTAATATAAAAAATTGCGATATAATTAATTATTTATTTCCATTCTTTTAAATGCTGTGTTTTATAAATGATACTATTAAGTAAGCACATTGTCATCACCTGATTTTTTGAAAGGAAGATTTTTGGTTCTGGGGTAACAGTGAATCTAGTAAAGAACTCAGAGAGATATTTAAGAAAATTAAAAGCAAAAGAAATGTGCTCAGACAAACATGAACAAAACTAAGCAAGTGTACTTCCTGTCAAACCTATTTAACATTGCAATTGATTCAGCATAACTGAGGTAACTGAAAACAGCAATGTCTATCAATGCAAAAACTGGGAACTCCCAAAGTTGCTGTCATCCATGTTAAAAAGTCTATCACTCATCGTCTTAAGCATCAATGTTTCTATTACAATTTGGTCAAAACTTGATGGACAGAAATAACAGATTTTTTTGAAAAATAGCTATCAGAATATCATCTTAATCCTTTCAAGCAATTTCACAAGAAAGGCTAAATTAGACACTGGGTGCATTTACTGGGTGCATTTAGACTACATGTGCATTTACTGTGCAGTAAGTTACTGTTCAGTGAGTTATTTTGTTGTAAGCGGTTTTAGCATGGCATTTACATGTGCAGCCATTAAAGCACAGTAACACTGAGTGTGTGGATTGATTTGGGACTAACTTTGGAAACTATGGAAGTTGAAGGCGTTTTTAGTTAGTTTCTCGTGGGCACGTCTACACCTGCACGTTTACTGCTCAGTAACCAAAAAATTATTTCACAATAAGGTCATGCATCTACATGTGCATGCCCTTACTGCACAGTAAATATGGTGACTTAAATCAACTTGGGTGTAAATTTGATACCTGCATCATGCAGGTATCAAATTTATGCCGTTATTTACTGCGCAGTAACACACATGTAGTTGCATTAGTAACACTGCACAGTAACACTGCGTGTGTGGACTGACTTGGGACTAACTTTTGGTTACTGTGCAGTAACCTAAATTACTGTGCAGTAAATGTGCATGTGTAGACGCACCCACTGGTAACTAACTAGAAACTCCTTCAACTTCCAAAGTTTGTCTTTCTCTCTCTCTCTCTCTTTTCTCTGTTTTTCACTGTTAACAACAGAGATTCCAGTAGTCTGGTTTAATAGGATTGGAATTACATCAGAACCCGGAGACAAATTAGCATTTTGTATAGCAAAGAAAGGAAAATTCATAGGCACATGCCTGTAGAACTACAAGCATGTGCTATGCCAGTTAGCAAGGTAAAATTAGGCTTACTTTTCTGAATTAGCTCCTTGACTACCTTATTTTTAAAGCACCTTTAAAACCTAGTAGTTCTGATTTTATGGTAAACCATAATCTAACTATCCTGATAATACATTGTAGTATATAATGCTGTTTTTTCCCCCAAAGGACACTAGATTAGGGCTAGGGAGAGGAGTATGTGGGAAAAATAATGAACCTTTAAATGTCTTAGTAGGTCTTGAAAGATAAGGGAATATTTTATTGTTCCATCCATTGGGGATATAATTTCATGTGTCCTTTTACTGCCTTTGGGAAAAAGAAACTGATTAAAAGTTTTAAAATAGGCCTCTGTGGTTTTTCCCATCAACAGTGGTAGCTGAAATGTCCCTCTGTCACTTGTATCTCCTGCCTTCATTTATTAGGAAGTTGTTTCTAAGCAAAGTTACACATTACAAGTCTACCTGATTTCCACTGACATTAAAATCTACAATATACTGTTCAAAATCTACTGACTGCTCATAAAATCAGGGAATAAAATACATGTTTAATTACTCTGGGTGCCTAAAAATTGAAAGTTATCCTAGTCAATTATTTCTCCTGCACCATTAAGGTTAAGGTTCACACAAGGACTTACATTTGATCAAAAAAAGACTTAGGCAAGGCAACACTCAGCATTGTCTGTGCATGAAGAGCTCCTCTCAGGGGAAGTTACTCTTTCTGAGAGCTGCAAAATAACCCCAAAGATCTTTCTCTTTTGCCTGTACAGCAGCTCTCCTTCAACAGGAAAATGAGGGGATTACTCCTCCTATTGGCCTTCCCACTCCCACGTTTCTCTACACCTGTGAAAATGCACTGGTTCATACAAAAGAACTTCCACAGTTCTGTCACTTCTCCTCTGAGCTGTTTCATAGAGGGGTATGAGATCAAAACTCTTAATTTTTTTTCCAAAACATTTAGACTGATTCTTCACATTTGCATTTCTGGTTTCTTGAAGGAATGCATGTCTATCTTGACTCTGCCTAGCCCATTACCCAGTTTCTCAGCTACTGTTCTGGAAAATAATTGTGGGAGAGTGTATCTGGAGACATTTAAAACATATCTTCTCTAGCTTATTCTGAAATGTAAAACTAGAATTTGAAAGTTAAGATGGTATTTTTCTGACTAAGGTGTTATCAACATCAATAAAAAAGTGCCGTTCATAGTGTTACAGTCCCAATGTCTTCAACTGAATAACAAAGGGCAAAAATTGACTTTGCTGTTGGAACTCATTCTACCTTCATGATTTTGTTGCACAGGTTGAGTTCAAGCAAATCTGTGCTCACCTGTGAATTTGGAGCACTAGCTATGAAACATATTTAGTGTGCCACTTCTTTATTTACTTGCCTGAAACTACTATGCTATGCCAGTTGTGGAGAAAGTTTTGGAGAAAAGTAGAAGGAAAATACATCTAAAGTGAATGCTGGTATTTTTGGAGTGAGACAGATTATCAAGCGGAGATTTGGTGGATCCCATGTTTTCCAACTGTGACGGCAACAAAGAATTCACTAAGGGGTGTATGTTATCTCTTCTGTGCTTACTGACAGCTGCAACCAACTTGCAGTCCAAGTCATGTGTTAAAGGAGCATGAAAGTACAACCAATACTTAGTAGAGGCAGGAAATGGATGATGCAAAAACTTCCTGCAACCACAAGTTGGTCAGCACCATCCAGAATGTCATGATGAAGCACAAGTAGTGGAAGAAACCAGCTGCTCCTTCCATAGTACAGTTAGCTGTAAAATACTAAGTTGTTGAATTAGCTGTATAGAACTGTTACTACCATTAGCAGATTATTCTAAACATACAGCCGGGCCACCGTACTGTTGAATAAAAAAGATTCTAGTTTTGCAGAGCTGATTTTCATGATCTTTGTCTAAATCAATGGATATGGGGATGAGGTGAGGACTAGAAGGGGCAGTGGGGAGGAAATGCTCAAAGTTATTCATGTGGCAGAACATAGCTTTCTAGAGAGATTGTCTCATAAATCATTTCTGCTTCCATTCCTTGTTGTCTGAATTCACTTTCTCTCCCACTCATGTTTATATGGATCACATTCCTAAGTAATACTAGGAAAGTATCTGTATATTTTAACTGTTTATAGTATAGGTACTTTACATCTGTGAAGAAAAAAAAAAAATTACTAAGGCAACTTTGCAAAAGAAGTCACGTCTCATTTTCAAAAGTACGTAACAGATGGAACAGTCCAATTGCAAACATCCAATTTTGAGAGCTAATTTTAAATCAAACTAATCCTGTTTCCTCTGTTCACATACGGATAGAAGAGTCAGAGAGAGCACAATTCTATTGGAGGACAATCTGAAAAGGGAAGACCCATGGAAAATGGCGTAAGCAGGGCAGCCACTCTTGGTGCTGACTTAGGAGGGGTGCACTTGCTACCACAGCCATGTAGTCATGCCAGCAATGCATCAAAAACTGGAAATCACCTCTACCCATGAGTTTGACAGCTGCTCTGGGCACCCAACTACATTGTTACACCTCTGGCCATGAAAAAGCACGTCTGTAGGCCATCAGTCGTAATGGCTGCAAGGATGGAGTCTGGTTTCTTATGTAACCTGCAGCTCTATGTGTTGCCTGATTTTGACTCTCCTGCTAACAAATATGCAAACTTCTCTGGTCTGATGAGTGAGTAGTGAAGAAAACCACAGTGCATTCACACAGTTTCTCCATTCTCAGGCTTTTGCATGGGATAGAAATGTGTGATCTGAAGTGGTTATGGTCGAAAATGCCCAGAGAATTAATTTTTTTCAAAATTTCCCTGACACATTTTTCATTTTTTCCTATTAAAACAGGTATTTAGTTTTAAAGTTTTTTATTGAAAATGAGAATCTTCTTTGGGTTCTTTATTTTTTATTAAAATATGGAAATAGTTGCCACCACAAAGATATCTGTTTGAAACATTCTTATGGTCAAAAATCCATTTTGCACCAAGAGGATACCACAATTAAAATATTTCACTCAGCTTTATTTATGACTTACTGCTGTCATTTTCTTTTGTCATGAATATTTTAAAAAATATTAGGAGGAAGTTACCAACCAACTTCTTTCCTTAAACTCTGAATATTAAAATATTAGGTTTGCTTTCTGCATAAATCACCAAAATTCCCTGGGCTGAATGCTGCAGTACTGAATAATACTATCTTAAAATCAATGGGGTTTTGATTTCCTAAAAGTCTATATTTAAAATACTTAAAAGCCCGTCAGTGAAGTCAGTGAGAGTTTATTCAGACTAAGTAGGGAAGAAGTATTGTTGAGGCCATGATGATCCAGGGAATTTGTGAAAACGTTGCTCTTCAGAGCAAGTAAGCCATAATTTGGCCTAAGGGCTGTAGAAACAAGCCTACAACGTATAATTGTTATGTGCATAGCACAAGGGAACTGTTTGATAAAAATACAAGAGGGGAGTTAAAAAATTGTTTCGTTTTTGCTGTGACAAGCTTTTTAGAAAACGAAGATTTGGGCTACTATTTTATCCCTACTATATTCAGTAGGAATTTTGCTATATGACTTCTGTTGGGGTCAAGAAACGCACATCATCATCTCTGAAACTGACATGGCTTGTAATGTATTTCTTTCTTTAATCTACTTAAAACAGCTTATCACAAATGCCAACACCTTCGGGGAAAGATGACACCAATGACAATATTACTATATTCACCAGGATCTTGGATGGTCTGCTCGATGGCTATGATAATCGACTTCGCCCAGGACTGGGAGGTACAACAGGGTTTCTCCTGCTGTTGCATAATTTACATATATCTGATATGGTATATATGGTACATAGTATATGTAATACATATAGACTTCTGTGACTTCTACAGTGAAGCCTTGAAATGAATACTTCCCTATGGAGCAAACCTGTTAAATGCCCATGCTCTGTCCATCAAAGCAAAATCCATGGAAATGGATTGAAGCATTTATGAATCAGTGGCTAATTGTAATGGGGCATAAGATCCTATCTAGAGACTGGTGATAGAGCTAACTCTCTCCCTCTTGTTACAAGACCTGATCAGTTTGCACAATAGTTTATTGAGTTGTTTGTAGTGAAATAATTTCTACTTAACAAAGTATAAGAGGAATATGTAAATCTTGGGGTCTGAGATGGAGGGGGAAGATGAATGCCTAAGTCAATCAGAGGCTAAAAAGCTTGATCAGGTCTAGTTCCCTGGAACCTTGGTGGAATAAACTATATAGGGATTTTACACCTTTACTTTGGGCTTAGCCAAAGCATACTGTACAGATATAGTTGGATTTTAGGTAAGGAAAGCTTTGTTGTATCATTTGCATTTGGCACTTGAAGCGGTATAACTTTCTTCATAAACTGCCCTGAGCCTTTTTGAGATGGTCATCATATAAATCTAATGAATGAATAAATATGCTTTTCAATAAACCACAAACGTGATTCAACTCAGCATAAATGAGCTTTGCTGGTTGGAATGGTGATACAGTTTCTGATATAACTGATAAATACTGTTTATTTATTTCTATTAGGTTTCAATAAAAATAAATGATAAGCATATACACACATATACCATATAAAATATATCCTAAAGCACCGTGGCCTTCTTAATGAATACTCCATGTAAAATAAACCTGTTAAAACTACTATTATATTTTGTAGCACTAAGGCAGTCTATAGCGGACTGCTTCTCTGTTTAGAAATCTACAGGGTAACGCCCAATCCTTACATAATAACTTGATTCCGCTGTTCTCATTCAGGCAAACCTCCATTAGTCAAGGAGAATGTTACTAAGGTAATGCTTCCTGAAAAGCCCCATTGTCAGACCAATACATTGCTTTTAGAAGTAAAAGAGAACTCCCTGTATCAGCTGTATACTAGATTTCATTTGATATCCTAGATCTTTTTTTTAAAAAAAATAGCTGCATTTAGATGGCCAGAGAAAACCCACAGTCTCCCAGCACCCAGGGCCTTATCTAAACTCCACTCAAATTTTCCAAGTAACTTTTACTAAATCCAGTTGGTTACAGATCAGATTTGTTTTTGTAATCACTGTTAAAGGTTTCAGAAGTGGCACACTTTTTTGTTTTTCTCCTTTTGGTGTTGCTCGCTTGTATGATTGATGACCTAGACATCACCTTTGCAAATTGCTTTTAAGGTGCACTGTATGGTAAATAGGCAGACAAGGTTCTTTGGGTGAATCTGATATCTTTTATTAGACCAACCCAAATAGTTGAAGAATAGTTATTAAGCAAGCTTTCGGGTTCAAAAACCCTTCGTCAGGTTAAGGAAGTTTCAGCAGTTGGTGTGAGCTTGCTTAATAACTATTCTCCAACTATTTGGGTTGGTCTAATAAAAGATATCAGATTCACCCAAAGAACCTTGTCTGCCTATGTCCTTAGACCAACACGGCTACAACCCACACCCCTGCAGTATGGTAAATAACACTTATGAAGTCTCACAAAATAAAACATGCATTTTATAATGCGCAAATGATAAAAATCCCAAGAAAGGCAAGAATAACATTCTTTTTCTGTGATTGTCTTCTTGTGGTGCAGTTGCATTGGCACACCAGTTAAGCCATCTGTATATTTGCCATTTTAAATGGTTTACATGTAAATATACATCTGTCATCCCTGGTACTCTGATCCTGTCCAGCTCCACTTCACCTTTCAGAAGAATCGCATCCTTCAGTCTTGTACTAAAAAAAAATGGATCCCTCTTCTGCAGAAGAGGACTGCTTGTATGGTCAAATATTCTGAAATCACGCTTACCTTGACAGTAAGTAAATTATAAACAGGGATCCTGGTTTTCTCTGATTTTAAAAAATCCCCAGTTTTCCGTTAAAAAAGTAACCCCAAATCCAAATTTTCCCATGATTTAAAGGAAACACCACTAGTATATATGTATCTATGTATTAGTGGTGTTTCATTTCTAACAGAAAATTGGGGATTTTTTTAAATTCTAGAAAACCAGGATCCTTGGTTATAAAAGATAAGAAAAAGATTTATAATAAAGACATGAGCAAGCATAAAAATCAGTGACCATATGTTGTGATACAAACAGAGATGTAAGAACAAACAAGCAAAAGATATTATCAGAACAATAATCTGATCTTACTTTTCATCTTAAACCCAAGAGCATACATCAACTGCAGATGCTTCCTCAGCCTGATGAAGGGTTTTTAAACCCAAAAACTTGTGAAGAAATTTTTTTCCAACTATTTAAGTTGGTCTAATAAAAGATATCAGATTCACGTGAAGAACCTTGTCTGCCTATGTCCTTAGACCAATACGGCTCCAACCTACACCCCTTAAACTCAAGAATGCACCTTTCACCCAGCTCAAAATGTCAGATCCTGTTGCAAGTTCTCTTGCCAGTCTACTGGATGAGGGACCAAAGCATCTTATGCCCAGGAAGCTCTTTTTAGACTCAGTTCACCTCTTCTCAGGCTGAAGCATCCCTCAAAAACTTTTGTGAATCAAGCAGCACCCATTTCAAAAACTAATTTATTATAGGGCATACCTCCTTGCAGTGGGGGCAGAAGAAACAACCAGGCAGAAGAACCTGCTCCTGCTCTTATCTGCTTATCTCCTCACACCTAAAGCCTACCTGCCTTTTTTATCTCCTCATACCTTACTTATATTCTTACACTTCATTCAGAGCCCTTCAAAGGTTTTTTGCAACACTCTGGTTGAGAATCACTGCTTTAGACAAACCTTTGCAAGGCTTAAGTACTTGCCCTTATCTGGCCAATTCCATTGTGTAGAATTCTTGAAGGTCAAGCATTGTGCATATAAACTTCTGCCCCACTTATGTACATTTATTTGGCCAGTCAGGCATCTTCACTGACCCATTTATAACAGGAGGAATATTTACATCTTTTCAGACCTAAAGATTACCAGCCCAGCCTTCAAGTCTCATCAAATGCTATTTGTATAGAAGATTATTTCCCCTGCCTGGGTCAGGCCTTGGTGCCTCACCTTGGTACTCAATATGCATAGTTATGCAGTATAAATTCTCAGTATTGACCATATTTACTCAATTCTAAAATGAGGGTTTTTTCCCCATTTGACATGGGCAGAAGAGCCCCGTGTCTTACAATTGAGCATGAGGTGGGGTGGGAGAGGGCAGGCAGCTGCTGTGGCTCTGGCTCTAACTCTTACCTGGGGTCAGAGTTGGAGCCACAGCTCTTGCTTACCCACCACCCCGGACCACCATTGCCACCTCTGCACCCCTTCATCTCCCCCATGAAAGCCTCTTCTCCTCACCCCCCACCCCATGCAGGCTCTGCTTCCCCACCTGCCCCACTCCCCCCACAACCTTTGCTCCATGCAGGCAGGCTCTATCCACACTGCAGCCTGGAGCATGGAGGACATCTCCAGCCTGGCCCTGAAGCAACAGCATGCAGCTGGTATGGTTGCTATGGAGGCTGGGGCGGGGGCACGCTCCCTGGCCCA